TAACAAGTCGAAACAAGCAAGTGCCTCCTTTGACCCTAACGAGCGTAGATTAAGTGAAGGTTCACTTTGTGCGAGCTTCAGCATTCCACAGATATCCGACAGAGAGGAAGTAGCAGGAATACGGGAGGAGGACTCCAGATCTCGCCAGTCGACATGCTCGAGTTCATCCTCGGAGGCCTTTGATAACATATTCATCGAACATTACCGCCGATTGAGCTCTTCCCACACCATGCCATTGTTTTCAGGTGAAGACTCCAGTGACTCCAGCAATTCCAGTTCTTCATACGACTTCTACAAACTTCTATGTCTTGTAAGATATTCTTGCAGCGCATGATTTAATTGATAGGTTTGCGGTCTTACCAAAGATTCTATGTTAATGCCTGATTAATAAATTTTCATGAAAACTTACTAAGTTAACCTTCATACTGAACTATTTTGGATATAATTTTACCTTAAATAATTGATATTTATTTCGTAATTCCATTTTAATTTCTAACTCAGTATATTTAAATTATTATTATTATTATTATTATTATTATTATTATTATATTTGTACCAGAAAAATCACAAGGTCCATAAATTAGTGAGAACTGTTAATTCGAGGAAGATTATTTTCTATCGCGAAATATGCAAGATACAGAAGACCGTTTCTTCAGAAAAACGTTTATGATACGCGCCCTGGGCATAGACAGTCTTGTTGCTCCCTCTGAGTCATTTATTAAACTCATAAAATACATCCCAATTAAATGTCTGAAAGTATGATTATTTTAAAATTAATTCAAATTATTTGATAAAAATAATTATCTTATACCGTGGCGGTAGAACTTATGATGTCCCTCATATTCTGTGCTCATCACCATTTAGCGCTCCAGGTCCGATCTCATTTATTGATTCAATTTATTAGGATAATTCATAGACCCGCCAATGGTAAATACTCTGTTTTGATTTATTTTGTCAAAAACGATGTATGTGACATGGGGGGAAGAAGGGCAAACAGACCACATTTTCTTGCGTCTCAGAATCTCTTCCTCTCTAACCATAAATAATTGAACGACGAATAAAAGTACCAACAGGGCAACATTTATTAGCAATATTTGAAAACTAGTCATTTTCACTCCCACGTTATAGAAAACTTATTTGCATCGGCAAACGAACCACAGATTTGTACCTTCGGCTCTACTCCGAACACTACTCGCAAAAGGAAGGCTCAATCAAACTTGCGCGTAGTGAAGCTATATTTGCATCCAGAAAAAAAGTGGCCAAATTTGTATTTGGTCAATGGATCAGGGAAACAGGGCAAAATCTTGATGTAGATAGGGATCATTGACCCAGAAGCTGAAGTACGTTACTTGATACAGATATATTAAATATTTTTTTTAAAATTATACAAGTATAATTTAATGTATTGTATATCACTGTTAAAATAAATATTATTTTTCTTTTTGATGGTTTTGGTCTTCAGGAACTTCGCGCAGAGGCACAACAGCGCAGAGCAGCTGAGACGTTCATGGCGGCGCTCGTTCAAGGAGATGGAGGAGTTCGGGGAGCTGGAAGAACAGGAGAAACTGAATGTCATGGAGAAGGTCGAGGATTTGGAGAATCCGAAGGAACTGGAGGGTCAGAAACAGTTGGGGGAACTGGAGGATCTGCGAGGATTGGAGGAACTGGAGGAAATAGAGAAACTGGACCAGTTCCAGAAAATGGAGGAGGGGCAGTCGGCGGTGCTGGCAACCCTAGTCCCCGAGACATCTACGGCTGTAACCGCGAATTCTTTGTGTAGACAGCTCTTCGAGGGGCGCCATTAGAGAGGAGCAGCAGGACGACCGTCTAGAGACCTTCGCCCAAAGAGGGCCCCGCCCCTCATCCAAGGGGCACCGATCTGCCGACGAGCCCTACTTGCCTACAGGTCCAGCTGCCTGAGTTGCTGTTTTTTGCTCTCTGATTTCGCGTCACATCACGAAAGGTTCTTATTTAAGTGTATATCTTGTAGTTTTACTAAATTTGTATCAAGTACTGAAATGTCAATTCAAAATATTCAATTTGAGAGAGATGATTTGAATAGGGGGTACATTTTGTTGTGTTATATGGGAGAATTGTAATTCCCGAAAATTGTATAGAAATGTCATTGAACACATGACAGAATTTCTGGTAAAAAATAATGGTCTTTATTTGTTGTGGTTAGCAATAATAATAGTAATCCAGTAGAGCATTGTATACTCACAAGCTATGTGTGCATTTTATATGCTTGGGAGAAACATATCTGTGTTTTTTGAAGACAATAAAAATAAAGTGGGTGTACTGAATATTTTTTAATATATACTGGTATGTATTTATCTTAATTTTCATTCAATTATTCAAGTTCAAATTAAATATGTTCTCAAGATTTCCAATCAATTAGGGGGTTTTATCATAAATGTTAATACTTTGAGTTTCATTGATAATATCATCATTAGAAAGGTTTGTAACGAAATAATATACACAGTAAACTGAACAAAACTCTTTTTATTTTTTAAGAGAAAGGAATCATTGGTAGATAATAGAATTATCTTCCATAATTGTACTTGCTCCTATGTCGCGCGTGTCGTAAAAATCAACTCGTGAATAACATCTAGCTATCGCTCTGCACTTGTTGAAGAATATACTATTTTGCTATATACTAAAGATAATGCACCACATACACTCTTCATTTTTTATTTGATGTGCAATACCATGGGGTTCTTTTACACCACCAAACATGGTAAATTTGATGGATTAGTGTGCTACAACAGCATTCACTTCACCATATTATTGGTAACAATTGTATTATAATATTGCAACTTCTATCTGACTAACACTTCAGCAATCACTTGGAAACCCATTACCCCATGAAGTTCGAAAAATACATATGTTTATTTTTTTGTCAATTCAAAAGTTAAAATGAAATTACTTTCTTACTATTACTTACTATTACCATTACATTATGTCCAATGTGCTCTATTTGTACAAAATATTTAAAGACAAAATATTTGCCCAGGCTAGGATTAGAACTAAGTTTATGTTCACGATTCTAGAGTCGTTCCTCTACGCCAGGGATTCTCAACCCTTTTTTGCTATTGACCCTTTCTAAAACAATGGTTTACTTTTCCAACCTCCTTATGTTTTTCTGTATATTATGCAGAAAACTACATATTCATAGTACAACAAATGACACGTAAGTGAACAAATAACACATTAGTGACTTGAAGATAATTGACGCAAAGAACAAGAATAAAAGTTTTGGAAAAAAAATATTAGAAATACATATCATTTTTTGTACTATTATAATCTTTAATTATAACCTACTGACTGACTATTTTTAGTTACTCATTAATAAATATTTTCATATATTACAGACTGCCATGAAATTAAAACAAAACAAATTTAAAACTTGTTCGACATTTATTAGTACAACATATATAAAATACAACTTTTTAAAAGAAATTATTGTTCTTTCATTACATTAATAAAAAGAGCAAGTTACATAGACATTAATTGATTAGTAAGAAAATCTACCAAAACACAGAGGAAAATACCTTGTTATGAAGTTAATCATGAATTATATAATACTTGGAGCAAATTATTATACAATTATAAGATTCATTAATTTTGTTTAATAATTATAATTTTGTTATGAACTATAATTTTTAGAAATAATATCAGATTTAATTTCATAAATTTCAGAAATAAAATCACACATCCTAATTGCTTGTGTGATTTTCATACATGTTAATGATGAAAAATTCCAAAAGAAGAGCAAATTTGTAATTTGATATAGAAAAAAAAAAAAAACAATAGTTCCAGAAGACAAATAATTACAACTTTATTAATATATTTTCAGGCCTTTCAGCAACTCACTTTTTCAGATTTATAATTTCTGAACCACCCTCACTTTCCCCACTTCTGACAAAACATACATTATCACTTTTTATATAAAAATTGAATTAATTTAATTATTTATATATACTCTTGAAAATATAAAAATTGTTCAAAAACGAATGTAGAAACTTGAGAAAAAAGCCGACGAACAAGCTGGCACAACATTTGGAAAGAAAAACAGGACATGCGAATGGACTCGGAGGGGGGAGGGAGTAAGAAAGTAAAGGAGGTCTTGGTGTCATCTACGTGTGACGAAGTGCACGTGCACAGGAAGAGGCAGAGGAAGTTACAAAAGTATTTCGCATCTAGGTACTTGTAAATGCTACACAATGATTATGGAAAAGGAAATCAACAGTTCAGTCATCATAAAGTCCAATTAATTATTACCAGTTTCGTTTGGATGAATATGTTTGTATTTCCTTTCACAGTTATGGCATTGAATGGAATATACCATGAGTTATCCAGTAAATCATGTTAGGACAGCAGAATTGGCATTTAAAATGTGGAGGCTGTTTAGTTTGAAGTACTGTTTTGTGATTTGTGGCCTTCATCTGACAGAATAATTATTATGAAGTCTGCTGCTTTTATGATGTAGAAAGTAAACATTTCGAGTTACCTACAAGATTCATTTGATTGTCCCTATTTTATTGACTCAGAAAACTACTGCCACATTCAGAAATTACATGGGATTAACAATGATTATATTAAAAATATATTATGTCTATTTATACCAGTTGTTTCCCATGTTGCTAAGGGATTTATTTACCACAATCATCAGACAGGAAAAGCAATGAATTGTATCAACAAGTGTACCCCACACATTACACGTTTATACACTAGTGTTGTTCACAGACAGACACAGACATTATCAGAAAAAAACTTTTTCATTATCAAGAACTCCAAAAACATGTATTCTGACTAAATTATGTTTACAATAAATTAATATACAATAGGAGAAAGAAAAAACCAACACTGTTGCAATAAGAGGGACCCACAAAACATGTTTTTCTGGCCACCAGTTTTACATACAAGTAACAGGATATACAAGAAAGTAGAAGGGGGTGATACATGAAATTTTCTAGCTTGAAACCCACACCACAGTATATCACTTTATCTACAAGCTGAATCAGAATAAATATTTCAAGCTTCTAGGGCAAGTAAAGGTGGCTGATAATTTTTTGCCACATTTTGATTACAAAAGTTTGAATGCAATCAAAACTAAACAATGAAGACAAAAATTCATAATTGTCATTGTCAGGAGGCAAGTTATTCTGTGAGAGTTTTTTTTGCATACTCAACACCACTTTAGGTAGTTACCTACAAATCATGTGCACGCTATCAGAAACGTTTTGGAAATGTCTTTGGTAATTCTTTCTTATCTTCTGTCCTTCAAAGGTAATAATAAAGCAACTTAGTTGATCATGCAACACAACTCATTTTTTTGCAGAATTATGGTTCTTTCCAATAACTGAATATTCTGAATTGTGTAACCTTTGATGTTGTTTTATAAAATGACTTATAATAATCAGCAGTTATCAGAGCACTGAATGAACAACATGTCTACAGGAATCTTCCTACAAGGACTTTCTGGCTTTCTACCTCACCTAAAAGTATCAAGAGGAGGTATCTGCATTCTTCATCACAATTTTTGTAACAAAATTTCATTTCTATTCAATTAAAGTTGCTAAGACAAAAGAGAGTGTTATGTTTTTAAAGCCAATTAACAGGCAAAAGCTTCCTAAGCCATGTACACAACCACTAACACATATGTGTGTGACAAATTATTCCTTTTAAAATATAGGAGAAAAGAGTTCCAATTAAATTTTTCAGTTCCTATTTTACCACCAACCACCACTTTACCACCAAAAGCACGATATTGAGAGTGTAGAAAAAGTCAGGACAGATTTATACAAGTATTTGTCAATTCGCCTAGTTTCAAACCCATTCCCTTTTGTAATTGAGAAAGTCTAAGTTTAATAGTAAAACTTAGGCAATTATAGGGATCATTAATTAAAGAGACAAGCACATTACAACAGAAAATAAACATTTATTGCACATAAATTAAGAGTGAAAAAGAGTTTAATTGTGTAGAAACAATTACATAGGAATTCCTCTAAATCTTCATGGAGATAAATATATAGGTCTTCCATTTTGATCATCAATAATTTAGTTAAAAAATAAAATACTTTGAAAACATACTAAATGCAGGTATGTCAATACTGTCTTGATATCTTTCATTTAAATCAAAATAAAAGATTTGTATCACATCTTACCAGTCATATTGTTCTAAGACTGCCAATTTTCATTGACAAATATTTCAAGTGCAGAATAATTTAATGGCACGATCTATTGTTTTCTCCATACAAGAACATGATTATTGGATGGCAAAGCGTGGGTATTTTCTAACTGAAATCCACATTCGGCAGCAAGAGCAGATAAATCACGTACATCTCTCAATCCCCATTCTGGATCTTCTTGCCTACACAAAAAAATTATGTTAGTGTATAACCCTCCAGTAGTCACACATAGACTCTTGGTCACCATTAATTTTCACATTTTCAAAAGACTTCAACATTAAGAATCATGCAATTTTACTACCTTCCTACAATTATTATTTTGTTTAGTCCTTACATTAATCTTTTCTTTGTGCAGTAGGATTGGACTAACAAGGAAATGTAGATTCCAAAATTACAAAATTTGAGATGTTTTGCAAAACTAGTTATTATTCTAGCAATTTCATTTCATAAAAAGTATTTAATGAATTTTCAAAATATGTTTTTTCTAAATAATAAAAATAATAATAATAATTTTTTTTTAATTGCAACCTTTCTTCCACAAAATCAGAATTGCATTCTGATGATGTGAGGCGCCCTATGTGAAGGTGTTGTGAAATGAATGCAGTGTGTCTGGGTTCACTTCTGTTATCTGTATGGCAAGCTTGTAGCATGAAGTGCATGTGAGCACAAAGAATATTACCTTTATGTACACCTCTGTATATACAACCTGTGTGTGTACACATACATACTATATTTACATATATAGATAGATATGGACAGGCGTCGATCCTGGGGGGTCATAACCCCTCCCCCCAGAATGATGAACACAATTTTTTGTGGAAAATTTTTGTGAGAGACTCTTAACATATCTAAAAACTTCTGAGAAACTTATAACCTATCCAGTATTCCTTCAGAATTGGGCCTGGCTGAGACATTTTCAGTGATTTTCAGACAATTCTAGAAATTTTTTAAATTGTAGTAATGCTGCAAACTAACGAATTTACATAAATATTGGAATTTAATTTGTATAAACACATACATGTGTTCAATATCATCTAAAATACATTTTTGGTACAAAGAAAAATATCTAAACTAGAAACATATCTAAAGTCGGATTCAAATACTCTGCACGTTACTAGTGTTGGAAACTTAATGAGAATATTTGTCATTAGTTATACAAGAGAACTGTGGGAAAAATTGACTGCAACATATCAACACAACTTCAAAATCACAACCCTTGTTCAATGGGAATAGAACAAGCTAAACTCATTAATAATAATGGTATGTACATAAAATTGACCACAACGTTGCTTTCAGATGCTTGTTAGAATTCAGTTACGATGATACAATCCATTTCAGTATTAGAACTGCTATCGGACTCAATGCCTATTTACTTAAAAATGCATAATGTAACCAGTAACAGCGAACATTATTTGATCATTGAAGTCTCATGCCAGTTCTGGTTTTGTAAGAACGTAAAAAGCAGCTTTTAGCACAGGTTAGGACTATCAAAAAGGGTTAAGGAGTTAAGACTAGTCGAAAAGTCGATAGAGAATTTTAGTACAGCTAATGAGCTAATGAGCAAGGATAGAGTCTGACACTTAAAATATCTTATTTTAATGTTTTTGCTGTAACTGAGTCTGCATCCAGTGTCAAAATTATCTTTTGACAGCTGTCATCACCGATAAACAGAATTGCAATGATGTTACTTTATTTGAGTTTTAATTATACAAAGCTCCTTGGCAATACAAAAAGAATTAGATCAGTTATTTTCAATTTATTAAAAGGGTCTGATATTTGAATGTGTTGGTGTAGTTGTCCCCAAAATTATAATGAATTTTACAAGTATTGTTATAAAAGAATCAGTAGTCGTCGTAGTAGTGGTAGTCGTCATCGTCGTCGTAGTAGTGGTAGTGGTAGTCGTCGTCGTCATAGTAGTAGTGGTAGTCGTCGTCGTCATAGTAGTAGTAGTCGTCGTCGTCGTCGTCGTGATAGTCGTCGTCGTCGTCGTGATAGTCGTCGTCGTCGTCGTCG